TGTGCAAAATGCATTCCAGTGGAGAGAGGGAAGCAAAATTCCAGACCAGCAACATAAATAGAACATTAGATACTGATGTGTTACGGAGGCAGGGAAGTTGGGTATGCAGTCGGGTGGTTAGGACAATTTGAAATAGGGTTGTCAGGAAATATTTCCTTAAAAATGACATTTGAGCGAAGCTGTGAAGATGGTTAAGGAGTGGTCCAAGTCGATAACAGAAGAACATTTTAGGATAGAGGTTTCTAGGGGGCTAGATAATAAAGGCCTGGGGATTTATTATAAGGATTTATTATAAAGATTTTGCTGAGCGAGATGGGAAGATATTGAAAGGTCTTTCTCTTTTGTTTTAGTTTTAGTCAAGGAGTGACACGATCACACTTATATTTTTCAAAGACAATTCTTTCTAATGTTTTAAGAGTAAACCACTTGGGGGTGGGCAAAAGTAGAAGCTCTTACAATAATTTAAGCAAGAGATAAGGGTATCTTGGATCAGGGTGGTAGTGGAAAAATAGTGAGAATTGGCGAGATTCCAGTTAGGTTTTAATTAATTAAGAGTCAACAGAATTTGCTGATGGCTTGAATATGGAATGTGACCCAAAAGATGATTCCAAGGATTTTATTATAACTGGAAGGGTGGAGTTATCAGTTACTGAGCTACAGTAGACAATGGGAAGAGTAATTTTAGAGGATAGATGAGATGTTGCTTTGGAATGCGTACAGTCTGATATGCCTATTTGACATTTAAGTGGAGATGTAGAACAGACAGTTGAATATGAGTCCAGTTCCAGGAAAATATTTGGGTTGGAGATAAAACTGTGTGATATTCAAGATAGTGATAATATTTAAAGCACTGGGACTCAGTGGGAGCACCAGAGAGTGAGTGTAAATTTATTTAAAATTTAATCATCTATTTAACAAACACATGTTCCAGTACTGCTCTCAGTGCTTTGCAAGTATAAACTCATTTAATTCTCATACTAAGCCTAAAATGTAGGCATTATTATTTCCTCCTTTTATAAATAAAGAAACTGAAGCACTAGAGAGCAAGTAACTTGCCCAAGGTGACAAGCAAATGGCTAGTAAGTGATAGAAATGGAATTTTTAACCAAGGCTGTTTAGCACTGGAGTTATTATTAGAGAAGTTGTCTAATGGCCTGAGGCTTCAGGAACTGCAACAATTACAGGTTAGGGAGATGAGAGAGATCAGTAAATCTTATTTATAGCAGGTAACACATTTTACTTTGTCATAGAAAATCTATGCTCAAGGAAAGTAGATACAGTAAGTATAGAGTATATGCAAAAACTATGTTTTGTTCCCCTTTATGCTTTTCTATATTTTCTATAATAAATATTAATTCTAGAATCAGGAAAAATTGCATTAAAATAAAGCAAAGGAGTTATTTTAAAAATCTTGTTTCGAAATGCATGTCAGTCTCTATTTACAACACAGCTCAAAGAGAAGGTGCAATGATAATCACTGCTGAAAAACTGAAAGGAAGCTCTCTGCTTAAGTATGAATAAGGTTAACATATAATTTATTGTCCAAACTAGAACAATTCTTGAGAGTAAAAGAGAGTACTATCAATTATATATGACAACAGGGTTAAGTTAGAACTGTTTTAAACATACTTGAAATATATGTAGGTGCCCTAGGGAGACTTCTCCTTAAAAATAGGGTTCGCATGAATACAAAGAAGTCAACTCTTATCTAGTCCATGCACACTACCAAACGTTGTTGCCACCTTCTTACCTTCCCTTCTAGGTTAAATATACCATTATTTGTCATTATTGTTGGTTAACATTTTTACTATTATAAGTACTGGTTAGAATTAGGCATCACAAAACAAACTGAGTACCACCTGTAGATTATTATAGTGGGTTTAGAGATACTCCATTTGAGGCCAATCAGTTGTTATGATGAGAAATACTACAGTAGTCTCCTCTTATATTCAGAGAATACATTTTAAGACCCCCCAGTGGATGCCTGAAACCACAGATAGCACTGAACCCTATACATATACACCTATGATAAAGTTTAATTTATAAGTTAGGCACAGTAAGATATTAACAACAATAACTAATAAAAAATAGAAAAATTAAGTAAAATAAAGGTTACTTGAACAAGAGCACTGTGATACCACAACAGTCAATGTGATAACAGAGATGGCTGTTATGTAATTCACTGGCAGGTGGCATTATATAGACATGCTGCACAACCTAAGTGGGATGGAGCAAGATGGCACAAGATTTCTTCACACTACTCAGAACAGCATGCAATCTAAAACTCATGAGTTCTTATTTCTGGAATTTTCAATTTAATATTTTGAGGACCACAGTTAACAATGGGTAACTGAAACTGTGGAAACCGAAACCACAGATAAGGGGGAACAACTGTACAGAATGAAGTCATTTTTATGGTTAAAGTCCCATTTCAAGGATTTGAAAAGAAATATTAAAATCTTGAACTATAAATATAATCAAAGAAGAAATCACTTTACAATAAAACTTGAAAAAAATACCTTTATTCCCATTCTAACTTAAATGAATTAGAAACAACACACCTATTCACTTCCATTTCCTAAACTATTTTTTTTTTAATTATACTTTAAGTTCTGGGATACATGCGCAGAACATGCGGGTTGTTACATAGGTATACACATGCCACGTTGGTTTGCTGCACTTATCAACCCATCATCTACATTAAGTATTTCTCCTAATTCTATCCCTCTCTTAGCCCTCCACCTGCCAACATGCCCTGGTGTGTGATGTTCCCCTCCCTGTGTTCATGTGTCCTCAGTGTTCAATTCCCACATGTGAGTGAGAACATGGGGTGTTTGGTTTTCTGTTCCTGTGTTAGTTTGCTGAGAATGATGGTTTCCAGCTTCATCCACGTCGCTGCAAAGGACATGAACTCATCTTTTTTATGGCTGCATAGTATTCCATAGTGTGTATGTGCCACATTTTCTTTATACAGTCTATTACTGATGGGCATTTGGTTTGGTTGCAAGTCTTTGCTATTGTGAAAAGTGCTGCTATAAACATACCTGTGCATGGGTCTTTATAATGGAATGATTTACAACCCTTTGGATATATACCCAGTAATGGGATTTCTGGGTCAAATGCTGTTTCTGGTCCTAAATGACTACGGGGTAAATTAAGGCAGAAATAAATAAGTTATTTGAAATCAAGGAGAACAAAGACACAATATACCAGAATCTCTGGAAGACAGCTAAAGCCGTGGTTAAAGGGAAATTTATAGCACTAAATGCCCTCAGGAGAAAGTGAAGAATATCTAAAATCGACACCCTAACATCATAATTAAAATAACTAGAGAAGCAAGAGTAAACAAATTCAAAAGATAGCAGAGGACAAGAAATAACTAAGGTCAGAGCAAAACTGAAGGATAGATACACGAAAAACCCTTCAAAAAATCAATTAATCCATGAGCTGATTTTTTGAAAAGGTTAACAAAATGGAACAAAATTTTTCCCTTGCTGGCAAGGAGTTGTGATCCTTTGCAGCGGAAGAGGCATTCTGGTTTTTGGAGTTTTCAGCCTTTTTGTGCTGGTTTTTCCTCATCTTCGTGGATTTATCTACCTTTGGTCTTTGATGCTGGTTACCTTCAGATGGGATTTTTCTGTGAGTGTCCTTTTTGCTGATGTTGATGCTATTCCTTTCTGTTTGGTAGTTTTCCATCTAACAGGCCCCTCTGCTGGAGTTTGCTGGAGGTCCACTCCAGATCCTGTTTGCCTGAGTATTACCAGCAGAGACTGCAGAACAGCAAAGATTGTGCCTGTTCCTTCCTCTGGAAGGTTTTTTCAGAGGGGGCACCTGCCAGATGCCAGCCAGAGCTCTCCTGTATGAGGCATCTGTCCACCCGTGCTGGGAGGTGTGGGGTTAGGGACCCACTTGAGGGGATAGTCTGTCACTTAGCAGAGCTTGATTGCTGTGCTGGGAGATCTGCTGCTCTCTTCAGAGCCGGCAGGCAGGGATGTTAAAGTCTACAGAAGCTATGCCCACAGCCACCCCTTCACCAGGTACTCCATCCCAGGGAGATGGGAGTTTCATCTATAAGTCCCCGACTGAGGCTGCTGCCTTTTGTTCAGAGATGCCCTGCCCAGAGAGGCGGAATCTAGAGACAGTCTGGCTACAGCGGCTTTGCTGAGCTGCAGTGGCCTCCGCCCGGTTCGAACTTTCTGGCAGTTTTGTTTACACTGTGAGGGGAAAACCGCCTACTCAAGCCTCAGTAATGGTAGACGCCCCTCCCGCCACCAAGCCTGAGCATCCCAGGTCGACTTCAGACTGCTGTGCTGTGGGTGAGAATTTTCAAGCCAGTGGATCTTAGCTTGCTGGGCTCCATGGGAGTGGGATCCGCTGAGCTAGACCACTTGGCCCCCTGGCTTCGGCCCCCTGGCTTCAGCCCCCTTTCGAGGGGAGTAAATGGTTCTGTCTCACTGGTGTTCCAGGCACCAGTAGGGTATGAAAAAAATCTCTTGTAGCTAGTTTGGTGTCTACCCAAATGGCTACCCCGTTTTGTGCTTGAAACCTAGGACCCCTGTGGTTTAGACACCTGAGGGAATCTGCAGGTTGCAAAGACCATGGAAAAAGCATAGCATCTGGGACAGAGTGCACCTTTCCTCATGGCACAGTCCTTCATGGCTTCCCTTGACTAGGGGAGAGAGTTCCCTGACCCCTTGCACTTCCTGGGTGAGGTGACGCCCCACCCTGCTTCAGCTCGCCCTCTGTGGGCTGCACCCACTGTGTAACCAGTCCCAGTGAGATTACAGAAGTTGTCTAATGGTACCTCAGGTGGAAATGCAGAAATCATTCATCTTCTGCATTGATCTCGCTGGGAGCTGCAGACTGGAGCTGTTTCTATTTGGCCATCTTGCCAGCTCCCAATCCTAAACTACTTTTAATATGATATAAATACTGACTTTGGTGTGGAATGTATGCACATGGTATGTCAAAGTGGAAATACAAGGGAATATATACTGTACCTTGTTTTACCTGTAAGGAACACACACCTGACAAAAGGCAATTTTCACATCCAAAGTTGGTTCACTGCAGTAGTATAAGAAATGGAGGCTCATAAATACCTAGAGGAAAAAGAAATGGAACATAAATTTTCAAATCACTTATTTTTCATTACATAGCAATATAGATATTGGCATAATTTGAGCTATATGCAAAGTATCATACACAACATATCTCCAACATAATCCTTATCTTGACCCATACTATACCTTTCACAAACTGTATTTAATAATGAAATAAGGTAAAAAGGTCCTATCTTTTATAATGATCAATTCCATCACACTCATAAAGATTAGATATAAGAAAGGGGACATACCTAATAATTTAAAGGGAAATACATCCTGTTATAAAGAATTTTCAGTTCTTAACATTTAATTAACAACAACAACAAAAAACCCTCAAACATATGCTGAACAGGATATATGTACTTACTGCAGAATAAAAGCACTATTAAATAAAATATAATTTATAATAGAATTCTATATAGGACTTGGAGTAATTACATTAGAGCTTAGAGTATCAGTATAGATAAATTTTTCTTTTTTCTTTTTTATTATTATACTTTAATTATCAGGGTACATGTGCACAACGTGTAGGTTTGTTACATATGTATACTTGTGCCATGCTGGTGTGCTGCACCCATCAACTCGTCAGCACCCATCAACTCATCATTTACATCAGGTATAACTCCCAATGCCATCCCTCCCCCCATCCCCTCCCCGTAA